ACCCCATGAATCGCAGCACGCCAGGCCTCCCTGTCCATCACCAACTCCCGGAGTTTACTCAAACTTATGCCCATTGGTTGGTCATAACTTTCCTTCCAAGGAGTAAGCATCTTTTAATTTCATGGCTGCAATCACCATCTGCAGTGATTTTGGAGCCCCAAAAAATAAAGTCTGACACTGTTTCCCCATCTATTTCACATGAAGTGATGGGACCAGATGCCATGATCTCTGTTTTCTGAATGCTGAGCTTTAAGCCAACTTTTTCACTCTCCTCTTTCACTTTCATCGAGAGGCTCTTTAGTTCCTTTTCACTTTCTGCCATAAGGGTGGTGTCATCTGCATACCTGAGGTTTGCCCACTTTACTCCTACTAATATCCCAGAGAATCTGTGTTCCTTAGAAGCTCATTTGGGAGATGCTCGCCTGGCCCAACTCTGGGAGGTGGTGATGGACAAGGAACCCTGATGTGCTGCAGTTCATGGGGTCTCAAAGAGTCGGGTCCTGCTTAAGCCACTGAACAACAGCAGTCTGGTCTAAACTGATTTCCGCAAGAAAGGAAAACAAGCTTTCATTAAACAGTCTCTGTCTCCATAGTTTTTCCATCAGGAGACAAGATGCAGTCCACAATATACACCCAGGATTTTATCTTTATTTTTTTAATCCCTAGGCTGAGCACAGTAAGTGTTCAATGAGCATTTGTGAAAAAATGTTGTTGTTGAAACAGTCACTCCAAAATGACCCCTGGTTCTTGAGCTCTCCCCATTTCAGTGACCCCTGTGTGACCTCAGCCAGCTCTAGGTCCCAGACTCAGTGTTTCGGCCTGAGAAAGGGCCAATAAAGTCCCCTTTGGGCAGGGGGACTGATGCCGACAGCTGGTGTTTTCACGTAGCCCTTGTTGTAGGCCTGGCCGCGGGGTGAAGCCCTGACCACCTGTACCACCTTCGCACACGGACAGGCTGAGTTTCCGGCCAGCCTCGAGAACTCTCAGCCCGGCTGAGCCTTCGCGGCCAAGGCTGGAACATACCTGGAAACCGCCTGAGTAATCCCACGGCGTCCCTGCCCAGCCTGGTGGGGCACGAACTGGAAATTCCCTATAATATTGCTAATTAAATGATTCCTCCACCCTCCTTCTCCCGCGCCCTGGCCTCCCGCTCTCCCTTACTCAGCTCCCCGAAGCGCCTCCAGAAACCTCCGCAAAGGAGTCCGACTGGTTTGGGGAGGGCTGGGCGGCCACTTCCCCTTCCCACCGCCCACCTGCCCGCCCACCGCCCCGAGCCCGGGCTGTGCAGGAGGTGTGGGCTGCGTGGCTCCAGCAGACGGAGCCGGACGCCCACCCCAGATTCTGGAGCCTCTGAGTGGCCCCTCCGCCCCAGCCCGACCCTCTGTTCAATTCACATCCTTGTTCCACGGAGACCGTCCCAGGGAGCAGACACGTGCTGCCAGAACTCCTGACCGTTCCAGGGTCTGTTTTTTTTTTTTAAGTCAATCTTTGGGCTCCTCTCTGCCATGCAACTGGGCCTGCTCCTCCCCAATCGGGGTACATCCTCATCTTCCTTCCAGTCGTTCCCCATTTATTAGGCCCTTCCTGTGTGCCCAGCCCCATGCTGGGTGCTGGGGACAGAGAGATAAACAAAACGCTTGTCCCCATGGAGCTGATGGGGGCGGGGGCGGGGGAGAGAGACCTAAAAACAAATAGTGGTTGCGATAACATGGTTGAATGTCAAAATCATTGTGCTGAAGCAAGGAAGCCTGACAAAGAAGAATACGCTATATGATTCCATCTAGAGAACATTCTAGAGAATACAGGCTAATCTAGAGCAGCAGAAAGCTGATTGGCAGCTACCTGGCAACTGGCAGGAGGGTGCGCGGGGAGGCTGGATGACAAACAGAAGGAAACCTTCGGAGGTGGTGGATGTGTTTACCATCTTGGCTGTGCTACTGGCTGGCTTCACGCGTGCACATGTATGTCAAGACTCATATTAAGTGTACTCTAGAAGGTGTACCGTTCATCGCATGTCTGTTAAACCTCAGTGCATGCTAAGTCACTTCATTCGTGTCCGACTCTTTGCGACCCTATGCACTATATCCCACCAGGCTCCACCGTCCATGGGATTCTCCAGGCAAGGATACTGGAGTGGGTTGCCATGCCCTCCTCCCGGGGATCTTTCCCCACCCAGGGATGGAACCCAGGTCTCTTTTGTTTCCTGCACTGACAGGTGGGTTCTTTACCATTAGCACCACCTGGGAAGCCCGTTAAACCTCACTCACTAAAGCTGCTTTAGAAGGAAGTTGTGCGGCAGCATGACCAGTGCAACAGGAGGGAAAATCAGGAGAGGCATGGGAGAAGCATTGGGAGGGTAGTCAGGGAAGGCTTCCTGGAGAAGGGGGCAGGGGCTCAAAGTTTTGAAGATGAAAATGAGTCCCATCAGGAAAGAGGAAAAGAGAGTGGTGTCAAGTTCTAGATGCCCTGAGTTCAAATTCGGACTCCTCTGCTTACGGGCTATGTGGCTTTCAGCAAAAGATTTGACTCAGACTCAGTTTCCTCATCTGTAAAATTGATCCCATGATAGTATTAATATCAGTACTGATCTCATAGGGCTGGTGGGAGATACAAAATACAGAAAGCGCTTGACCTGGCATCTATTAGTCGCAGCTTATACAAAAGCCCTGAGGTAGGAAGGGACAGTGACCCAAAAGATGGTGAGAAAGTTCAAGTGGCTTCATTAGAGAGAGGCAGGAAGAGGTCTCAGGGGCCAGGGCTGCAGGACATGTGGGCCATGGTGAGGGATGGAGCTGTCTCCTGAGGACTGCGGAACCGAGAAAGGGCTAGAAGCAGGGGAGTTTCATCATCCAGTCTGTCCTCTTATCAAAACCACTCTGATTATTAAAAAAAACAAAAAACAAGCAAACAAAAAATTACAGTTGGTGAACCAAGGCTTAAACAGAGACAGATTAGGCCAAGTTCCAGTGGAATTACAGAGCTTAAAAGGAAGTGGTCTCTCAGTCATTCAAGTCCTTGTAAGCAGAAGAACCCTTGAAGAACTGTTATCTGGGTCTTCTTAACGCCTCCAACGATGGGGAACTCACTGTCTAAACTGTTGGGCAGTTCATCCTGTAGGGCTCAACAAAGAGAGGCATCTTAAATTGCCCCCAGTTTTTCCCTCCGACTCTGCTCAGATGCCAAGTGCTCCTCTGTTTAGAGTCACGCTGAGAGGAGCCCAGCAGACGGGACAGGAAGTGGGAAGCGATGTGAGTTATGACAGAGACTTCCTGGGTGCCGCCACGTGGCCCTGGGACATACCCTCTCCTCTGGGCTTCAGTGTCTGTAAATGGAAACGCTCACTGCGCTGCAATCCCCTTCCAGCTGTTAGAAATCGATCGGGCCTCACACAGGGGCCCGGCGGAGGCTGGGGCAGTCACAGGGGCTTCACAAGTCCCGCCCACCCACTCCCTTCTCGGAGGCCAGAGCTGACCTCGGGGCAGACGGGGCAGGCAGGCCCGTCTGGGGATAAAGGCAGGTGCCGCAGGGTACAGCCAGCTTAATAACAGGCTCCCGGATCCAGGGGGTTTGAACCCAGGGGAATAGGTTCAAACACAAATTGAGCAGCCCACATTCCCGCCTGCAGCTCTGAGAGCTAATGGTTCCCACGGCTTGGCCCCCACTCTCTCCAAGCCCATCCTTCCCAGGGCGGTGGCGGCGGGGGGCGGGGGGTGGCCCCTTCTGGGCGCTCACCATGTGCCAAGCTTCTCACTGTACTCAGAGTGAGAGCCACACCCCCAGCCCTGGCCTGGCCCACACCTGACCTCTCCTCCTGCCTCCTCCCCTCAGGCACTTCTGCGCCGGGGCCTCCCCAGTGCTCCGCAAACATGCCATGCCAGTGCTGCCCCAGGGTCTTTGCGCTGCCTGTTCCTCCTGCCCAGAACACGGTTCCTCCAGATCTTGCCTGGGCAGCTCATCCTTCGGGCCTCTGCTCCAAGGTCACCTCCCCAGAGAGGCCCTCCCTCACCCCATCCAGCGGCTCTGTCTCACCATCCTGCCTTATTTCCTCCACTGAAAGCTTCGTGGGGATGTCTTATCCCCCAGGTGTGGCGTCCGCCTCTCCTGGGGTTTGGGGCCTTAGATGGAGGAGCCGACGACTGGCCCAGTGCTGGACCTGATGTCACCTGGCACAGGCTGGCACCCACCCATCAGTGCAGATTAAGTGAACAAGTGAAAGGGATGTTGGAGATGCTGAGCCCATTCTGGGGGCGGTCAGTGCCTCACCTGCATAGACCCTCTCACCTCCGCACAGATGGGCTGGAAGAATACCTGTATTGATACTCAGAGTCCCTGTGGGCCTAAACACACCTGCACGCATGTGCATGCACACACACACACACACACACACACCCCGCCACCCCAGCACCCCCTGCCTCCACACCAGCCCTTGGCACCCAAACGCCCCAGTGTTCCTTCCTTTCTCCAGGCTCCAGCTGGCCCCGCGCCAGCTCTTCTCCCCAGCCTGCCCGCATGCCCTGGGCACCAGACTCATAAAGGACGAGGAAGGGCCCGGGGTGGGCTGGCCGGGTGCCATGAGAACGCAGCCCCCGAGGCTCTCGCCTCCCCCTGAGCTGCCAGACACCTGCGTAATGAGTGTCATTACTGGGGACCCACCGGGCAAGCCCCGGCTCGCCCCAGCCACCCAGGCTGTGAGCAAAGCCGGGGATGGGGCTCGGGCAATACGGGGGCACAGGGGTGGTGGGAGTGCCTCTCTCCTCCCCGGCCCCAAAGCTCAGCCCTGGATTTCTGGATCCGCGAAGACAGCCTCTCGTCTTCCACACAGACTCCCGAACCTCAGGTTCCTCTCCTAGCCCAGGTTCGGCTCAGGAGGAGACAATGGAGGGGAAGCACTCATTGAGTACCTACTGCATGCCCACTTGGCGCCAAGAGCTGGTATTGCCACTTCCCACTTTAGACACCGCCGCATCCGTTCACCTGATGGCTTACTGTCTCTCTCCTCCTTTTGAGCACAAAACGCGGAGAACATTTATTCAGTCGGTACTGTGTACCTTGTGCTAAACACATGTATTAACTCCTGTGTTCCTAGAACAGCCCTACAAGGTGGGTACTGTAATTATTCCATTTGACAGAAAAAGCTCAGAGAGGTAAGGCAACTTGCCCAAAGTCACACAGTTGGTAAGAGCTGGGCCAGGAGCTCAGCCAGGCCTTCCGGCTCAGAGTCCACGTTCTTCACGGCTTGCCAGGCCATCCCGCCTCTTCAGCAGCAGGTTTCATTCAGGCTGTGCTTCCACAGTGCCCAGTCTGGTGCCCAGAAAAAAACAATGAGTGAGTGAATGAAAGAATAGCCCCACTGAGTTCTGAAAATATCTTTCCAAGTGACATTTACAAATGAGAAATCCAAGGCACAGAGAGGTCAGGTGACATGCCACAGGCCACTCAGGCACAGCGCCCCACAAACTGAGATTTGCACTTCAGGTGTCTTTTGTCGAAGCCAGGATGGGAGCTCACACCCCGTGCCCCTCCTGGGCCCTCATGGCCCTGACCCCTCTCTGGGCTGGACCAGGGGGCCCAGGAGGGTGAACGTGCGTCTGTCTCAGTGTCCCTAGCATCCGGCCAGGGCACAGAGTTGACCTGCAAACTGAAACTGCAGCTTCCCCCCGTGGCTTCAAGGCCTTGCAGGAGCAGATCCTGACAAGTCCACCCGTCCTCTCTCCTAGCTCCTGAGCCGTGATGAATTTCCCAGACCCACCCTGCTCTTCCTTGCTTCTGGGCTCCCCTCCACCAGCACTCTTCAAGAAACTGCCCCAGCCTCAGCTTGAAGGGCACCTCCTCTGCCAGGAAGCACCCAGTGCCCAGGGCTCTGTGAGGGCACGCGCGCCGCTGACCCTGGGCCATCGACTGCTCAGCCCACGTTCTGACTTCCCTCTTCTCGGGGCAGTCGGCCTGAACTGTCTGTCTAGCCACCGTGGTTTCATCCCCACCCCACCCTTGACCTTCTGGGTGAACTTGGCCGTTGTTAGCTCATCTGTCAGAGGCATAGGAACTTTAAGTGAAAATAGCAAGTGAAGGCCCCTACTCAGATCCCACGGGGGGCACTCAACCCAGAGCTCCCTGTGTGATCTGACTCCTGCCAACCTCTCTGATGTCACCTTTCCCCTCCCTCACTCCCCCCAGCCACCTGGCCTTCCCACCTTTCCCAGGATGCTCCAAGCCCCAACCCATCCCAGGGCCTTTGCCCTGGCTGTTACCCCTACTGCAATCCCTTCCCCCAGGGCCTGTTCCTTCTCCTCCTTCGGATGCCTCTCCAGGTCACCTCTTCAGAGAAGCCCTCTCTGATCTATGAAGCTCCCGAACACCCCTGTGTGTTTCAGTCATGGGGCTTCTCTCCCACTGAAACGATCTTCTCTGTTCCTGGGCTTGCTCAGCTGATCTTGTCTCCTCCACCAGAATGCAGATGGAGACCTTGCTGGGTCTCCGTCTCCAGGAGTGGAGCCTGGCATACAGCAGGTGCTCGAGCAGCAGGCATGGAATGAAGAGAAGACATCAAAATGCTGCTCCATCCCTGTCTCGTCCCTGCACCCCCCACCCCTCACCCCCCACCGAGTGGCCCCCAGCCCAAAGTTTCAGGGGCTGGGAACGAGGCGGCCCCACTCCCGCCGCTGGCAGGCCCCTCTGAGCCCCAGAGCCTGTCTGGTTCCCAGCCTCATAAAAACCTCCGCCCTCCCCTTGCCCTTGGGCAGCACAGGGAGAGGGAGGCGGACGCGGGCCCCGAGGCTGACCCCGGCCTGACTCCGGAGAGGATTCAGACGCCCAAGTCAGCGTCCACGGAGCCGGGCGGCCAGGTGCCGCTTCGACTCCACAGCACAGCCCGAGGGCTGCCCTGCCGGGTCAGGACCACCACAATCGCCCCCACCAAGGAGGACGCCGAGTGCAGCGGGGTGCGGCCACGGGCCAGGCCCAGGCTGTGGTGCCACCAGAGAAAGGCACAGTCGGAATTCGAATGCAGCTCCAAGGGATGCTCGCGTGAGCTCCAAGGGATGCCCATGTGAGCTCCAAGGGATGCCCGCGTGAGCTCCAAGGGATGCCCATGTGAGCTCCAAGGGATGCCTGCGTGAGCTCCAAGGGATGCCCGTGTGAGCTCCAAGGGATGCCTGTGAACTCCAAGGGATGCCTGTGTGAGCTCCAAGGGATGCCTGTGAACTCCAAGGGATGCCTGTGTGAGCTCCAACAAACGCCCGCATGAGCGCCCACCTGGGCTGGTCAGTGCACAGACGTGAGATGTGCCCTAGCGATGCGCCCTACACATCCGGCTCTGAGCAGGGATCCCGGAGGCAGAGTACTGAGCCCTCGAGCAGGGGACCCAGCCCCTCTGTGCCTCGGTTTCCCCCGCTGGGAAACAGACATCACCATCTCTCCCTTGCCCGGGTGTTGAGGGAATGAAAGGAGATCCTGCAGGGTCCAACAGAGCCACTTGGATCCCTTGCTGCCTCACCCTGCTGCATGCCCTCTGGGCCTCAGTTTCCCCATCTGGCACATCGGGTTGTGGCCAGGGTAGGATAAGATACAAACCCAATGCTGCGCACATACTAAGCGCCTCATAAGTGCTCACTGTTATTTACTCCAGGCCTCTGGGGCTCACTTTCCCCGTCTGTAACTCCAGAGGGCAGTCCTGATCACCCAAGACCTCTTCTAGGTCACTGGGGCAAAGGTCCAGGGGTCCTAAGGTGGCCCCGGCAGGGGGAGGCAGCCCGGGGCTGGGGGTGGGTCGGGGGGAGCGGGAGCGGGACGCCGCCAGAGGCTGCGGTGACTCACCAGCCAGCCGGCCTCCAGGGGCCGGGCTGCGGCCCCCCACGCACCCCTCTGGGCCCTGTCTTGAGCCCAGAAGTGCTGTGTCATGCTCTGTCATGTGGCTCCGGGTCATTAATACCCGAGTTCTGGGAAGCTTGGGCCGAGTTCCCGGAAGGGGTCAGCCAGTTCAGTAAACAGATTGGCTGGTTGGTCGTCATGGCTGAGCCGGGCGGGCCTGCAGCTCAGGAGGCAGGAGGTGGGGACTGGTGGCCAAAGGGGGCCCAGGAGCCGCCCTGATCCCTGTGCAGGGCTGGCACCTCTCAGGGCAGCTTGGCCCAGACTCTGCCGATGCAAGGCCAACCTGGGGCTCAGAGAAGGCAAGGCACTTGCCAGAGGTCACACAGCAGGGCCAGGGTTCAGGTTCAGAATTCTGGACTCACTATCTAGGGCTCTCAGCATCTCTCTGACTAATGGGCAGGAAACTCTGCCTCCCCTTCACCTCCAGATCCTGTCCCGGACTCTGAAGCCAGTTGGTCGGATGAAGAGACAAACTAGTGGAAAGCAGGTTGGGAAGGAAGCGGGTTTGGCAGGCTGTGAGGCTGCCCACGAGATGGGTCCTCTAAAAAGAATAACACATTCTAGCATTTCGTGAGCACCTACAACGTGCCCTTAGACACGAAGTGGTACTTGGGCGCCACACTAAGTGCCTGACATGAATTCACTCATATGATGTGCAGCCACCTTTGCACAATAATCACAGCCATCACCTTTAAAGCACCTACTATCCCCTAGGCACTGAGCTGGTGGTCATGTGGACCCCATGAGGTGGACATTGTCCTCACCCCCTCTTCATCAGAGGCGGAAATAGAGACAAAGAAAGACAAGCAGCTGTATCACTTGGTAGGAGGAAACTGGGCTCCAGGGTCAGCTGGACCCAAGAATTCAAACTTGGACTTGTCCCTTCGGGCTGTACAACCTCATGCAAGTGCCCCCATCTCTCAGAGCCTCAGTTTACCCCTCTGATAAATGTGATGATTGTACTCAAATCACACAGAGTCAGACCTGGTAAGAAGAGGGGGAGGGCAAGGACTTTGGGCTGGGACTGGTCTGGGTCCCAGTTGCACTCTGCTGCTTCCTAGCTGTGTGACCTTCGGCGTGATGTTTAACCTCTCTGGGCCTCCATGTCCTCTGTACAGTGGGGATCGTAGCAACACCTCCCTCGAACCACTGACAGCAGGAACGAGTGAGCTGACACCCCAGGAGCCCTCTGCGCAGGGCTGGGCGTTCCACAGGGCGTTCCACTAACACGAGTGACTCGTTCTTGCTGCTCACCTAAGATGACTCTGCTGGGATGAGGGGAAAGGGCGCCAGGTCATGGACAGAGGACAGGGCGCACACAAGCATGCTTCTGTACCCGCAAGTGATCTGCACAGAGGCGGTCAGTTCCCCGCTCCTCTTCGCACGCTGTTTTCTCAGGCCTGGCTGTGCCCTGGCCTCTGCTTTCTTGTTCTCACGCCGCTGTCCGCCATCCTGCTGCCCACCAGCCCAGCCCCCAGCCCTTTCGTCCAGACTCTCCTCTCATTATTCCCGCCTTCACACGTTTGCACGATTGGGGCCCTCCACCCGGCAGGCTCTCGCTAACTTAACACAAGCGCCTGGTCTACATTGCCCCTGTCCTCTGCCACTCGGATTCGAAACCACCTCCTCCAGGGAGCCTGCTCTGATCCACCCGTTGAAAGCAAACTCTCCTGGACTCTCTCTAAACCTCACTTACCCGTTTCTATCATTACACATCAGCTATTTTTGCACATGCCACCTCAAATTTTGGCTGCTGCAAGGTGGAAAATTTGCAAGGGAGATTGGGGGGAAAAAAATTGTCTTGTCTCTAAAACACGTGAAGAAACCTGCTAAATAGAAATTAATAAGTCCTTTCAGGAGTCTACTCGAACTTCACAATTCGTTATTAAATTTCTAATTTAGTACTTAACAAAAATTTTTATGGCGTTTTGAAAATAATCTGTGAACGAGAATGTTCCTTGTTGGGCAAACACTCCCTGGTGTACATGGGGATTGCCAAGAACCCAGAGCCCGTGGTAAAAAAACGAGCTGCTCGTTGCCAAACAATTTCGGAAGTGAAATTATTAATATCATTAAAATCCTTTAGTGATTTTTCCAGCCAGGCTTTCGGCCTGGCCCCTTCGTTTATTTCCCAGCACCATCCCCGCCCCCATGATCACACCCCCTTCCCTGGTTCCCTGGTTCCCTGGTTCCCTGGTTCCATCTCCCCTTACCTCCCTCACCCTCAAAATCAGTCTGCATACCCCAGTCCCCACCTCCATGCCCTTGCTCACACTCCTCCACCTCCTGGAATGCCCTCTCCTCTTTTTTTTTCTTTTGCCGGAATCTGACCTTTTTTTCAGACCCGAGTCCAAGCTCCTCCTCCCACCTGGTACCCTGTCTCACCCTAACCCCCTCGCTGGAGCGTTTACACTTGTGATTCCCCATCTGCCAAAGGAGAGGGGATGGCTCAGGGGGTAAAGAATCATCTGCTATGCAGGAGATACAGGAGACGTGGGTTCGATCCCTGGGTCGGGAAGATCCCCTGGAGAAAGAAATGGCAACTCACTCCAGTATTCTTGCCTGAAAAATCCCGTGGACAGAGGAGCCTGGCAGGTTACAGCCCAATCGGTCTCCAAAAGTCGGACCCTGCTAAGCACACAGCATGTAGAGGGAACAAAGGCATCAAACTCATGGCCCTCAGGCCAAATCTGGCCTGTATATTTATAGATTGGCTCCAATACTGAATAATCAATCCAGACTTACAGTTTCTCATGAGAAACTGCAAGCCCTTGCCTTGGAGACGTTGGGCTGAAACTGAGTGGAGCGCATCCTTTAGATAAGCCTGTCCCTCTCAGCATCCAGTTCAACGCGTGTGCCATTTTCCTGGCCCTGGAGATGCCTGAGTTTGCAACCCTTACCCTGGAGTGGAAGTCCTGAAGCTTTCTTCAATCTCAGCACCCCTTGCTGAAACATCTTAGGTAGAATCTCCAGATCTAGTTGAAATGAGGGACCCCCTGCCCACTTGACCATGTCCTCACTTCTGGAAGAGGCACCCACCCCCATGCCTGCCATCCAGGTGCATCCTCTGGACACTTCAATTCTTTGAAGCAGAGTTTGAAAACCTCAGCATCACTTCAGGCCAGGTTGGGACCCAACTCAGACCTACTGAACTGGCACCCGAGAAAAGAAACCTCCTGATGTAGCCTCCCCCAAATCAGCCCCCCACTCAGCAAGACAGCACCTTTACCGACCCTTGCTTGGGCCAACAAATCCTGCTGAGTTTGTCTTCAAAACAGATCCAGAGGGACTTCTCTGGTGGTCTAGTGGTTAAGACTCCACTCTCCCAATGTGGGGTGGGGTGGGGCTGGGTTTGGTCCCTGGTCAGGAACTGGATCCCGTATGCAGCAACTAAAGATCCTGCATGTGGCACAACTAAGCCCAGTGCGGTCAAATAAACAAGTAAAAATAAATAAATATTCTAAAAAATTAGATCCAGAATCCAACCACTCCTCCAGCCCCGCTCCCTCCTCCATCCCAGAATGCCTGAAGTCACCATCCCCATGCCCAGCCAGAGGGACCCTGGTAGACCAGTAGTTCTCAATTCAGGGGTGATTTGGGGGGCGCCAGGGTGCATTTGACAATGTCTGGAGATATTTTTAGATCTCAGGACTGGGTGGGAGAGGGGGTACTCCTGACACCCAGGAGGGAGAGGCCAGAGGCGCTGCTCTGAGCCCTGCGATGCGCAGGACATCTCCACAACAGAGGGTCCTTAGCCCGCGTGTCAGCAGGCCCAGGGTCGGAACCTGTGATCCCACCTGAGTCAGGCCCCGCGTGCCTGCGCTCAGAGCTCGCCCGGGGCTCCCACTTCACTTGCAGTCAGCCTCGGCCGCCTCCTGTCGCCCACAGGACCCTGGTAATCCCAACCCTCATGGCCTCCGGGATCTCGTCTCCCCCCCCAACCCTGCCATGGGCTCACTTGGCCAGATCAGTCTCCTTATCTTCCCCCACAAGGCGAGAGTTTTCTCCCT